CAGTCTTAAACCATCATGCATGACTGGCCGTACTAGAGCCATGAAGATGAACCACCCTGACAGAACAGTGATGTCTTCATCAGGTATGGGAGCACCTCAGCCAACAACACCTGCTCTCAAGGACGTGAGCATCACAGACACTCTCAGTATAGATTGGAATATCCAACTCTTTTAAGGTAGATGCTACACTAGAAAACACATCTCTAGACTGACATTGGGGCAATTCTGCAAAACCAGTCAGCAACACACAATGCAGACCTTACATTCCACCTCAGGCCATTTGACAAGCACGCCCACTCTGATTGATGTGAAAACACCATAGTAGGTTATGGGTGGGTAGGTAAACAAGCTGCTAGTCGCACTAATCCACAGGTCAGCCAGGTAAGAGTGACGTGAGACGTCACAACGGTTCAAATACCTGGAATTCCACACAAGTCTGTTCAAACACAGGAAACTCAGAGCAGCAGAGCAGAGGGGTTAAAATGTTTAGTTAGGTTGATTCACTTATTGTCCTCTACACAGGAAAAAGTCAAGTGTTGATTTAACTCTGACAGAGTTGATTTTAACTCTTTTTCAGGGTTTGTATAGGTCCACACTCTTAAGAGTTAAATTGACACAATTGAAATAGTTAAGTATTTAACACTGTAACAGAGTTCCTTTTTTTAAATCACAAGGGAGAGTAAAATTAGGTCTGTCTGGACATAACAGTTAACTCTGATCCAAGGACAAATATTAACTCCTTTGTTAGAGTTGATTTAACATATTCAAGTGTTATCTACTAAAAATAAGTCACTTTATGACTGGTAAATCATAATAAAACAAAATTAAAAACAAATATATTTTAGGTGCTTTATTTTTCAATTTGTGTTTCCAACACTTTAAATTGTGGTATAATAAACAAACACTGGTCAAATGTCTTGACTTACTCACAGGAGAGCACAAGGGGCTGGTTAAGTTGCCTCACTCCTTGGTCTTGAACTCTTGTTTATTCCTTCATATTGTCAACGTAAATATTATACACTTTTGTCTGCGAAAATGTATAAAAACTAATTAATGCAGCACCATAAGAGAAATTAAACACAAAATGTGCTTTGAACATCTCATGAAATGCTCCTACAGAGTGGTTGGCCTGGCATGGGTTGAGGCATTTTTCCATGACTATCTAGAAGCTGTTAGTCTTGCTTTTCTGACACCCAACAGCAGGGAAGAATGGCTGGAGACCCTGTTCACCCCGGAGATGTTCCTCTAAACTACAGCATGACTAGGATTTAATAAATATACACCAAAACGTAAGAAATCGACATACAGCTAAAATCATTAGAAAACAAAATAAGATTCAATAATCTAACAAAAGAAATTCATTGGATAGTGCACATGACATGCAATAAATATTTATAAACATTAAACGGAAGCCAAGAGTAATAAGTAAAGTTTGTTTTAAAAATATAAGGAATAGAAAGTACAGATACTTGTGTAAAAATATTATGAGAAGAAGTCAGAAGTAGGAAGAAAAATAAGTAATGGAGTAAAGTATAGACCACTGATGGTGGTCAGAGGGCCCGGTGGTGCCAGTGTAAAGCAGCCCCGCTTCTGTCATTGAGCCCCAGGGCAGCTGTGGCTACAATGTAGCTTGCCACCATCAGTGTGTGAGTGTGTGCGTGAATGGGTGAATGAATGTAGTGTAAAGCGCTTTGGTCAAGTCTCCTGACTTGAATAAAGGCGCTATATAAGTACATGCCATTTACCATACCTAAAATGTCATGGTCTTGGTTCTGTTTTTCTTTACTTTGCTCCTTGTTTTCTAGTTTTATTGGTTTAATTCCAGTTTTGTTGTAATTTCTAGATTTATGTTAGTTCTCATGTTTTTCTGTTGTCCTCTATTGCCCTCTTGTGTGTTCCTTTCCCCTTGGCTCCCTCGTTGTCTCCTCTCACACCTGCTCCTTGTCAGCTCGTTAGCCCTCCCTTTGTCTCTCTCTGCTATTATGCTCTCCCTCTGCTCTCACTCTTTGTTGGTTCCTTGTCTTTGCTGTCCTCCCATGCTGTGGTCTACGTTCTTCGTCTCTCCCTGGCTCCTTGTGTTTTGTTCCCCCAGATGTCTCCATGGTTCTGGTTTGCTTTATATTTTTCATGTTGGATTTTGGATTCCCGCTCTGTTTCCTGTGTTTATATCATTAAAGCTGCAAGAAATCTCCTCAGCCTCTGCGCCTCTGCATTTGGGTCCTCAAACCACAACTAAACCCTGACATAAAAAGTGTACTTAGGTACAGTCATGAAGTATTTGTACTTCGTTACTTGACACCTCTGTCCCTGACTATCTTTTAAGTTTATATTATTCACATTTGTAATCTAACTATTGATAATAAATAGTAAGACAGGATCTTGTGAATTAAGCTAGTTTTGTTGACTGTTTGTTAGTCCCTGTGCTGCTTTAATTGGGTGGGATTTATTCTTTAGTGAGGATTGATTAAGTTCTTACAGACATTAGGTGTGAATTAAACTGTTACTTTAGTAATACATTGAAGTGTTCAATACTTATTTTAACAAATGTATTTCTTTGTTGAATCCTCCTCTTCAAATAGTTCCCAATATGATTAAAATATAAAACAATACATCTTAGTGTTATGCAGTCAGGTTTAGATTAAATTTCACCACATTACTTTAACTTTAACCCAGATAGCAAACTACTGACTATAAACAATCTAGCTTTAAAAACTAAATAATCCTAAAACACTTTTAAAAGTCAATAACAAAAGGAAAGGGTTTGATGTGACTTGATTATGAACTGAGATTTTTTTCTCATCTGTTCCCAGTTAACTGTTGATGAACTGAATGCTGAACTCCTCTACAGGTGGATTTTACATTTGATTCCATACAACACAAAATTAATAAAACATTATTTCATGATTTTCAATGGAAGGGAAACTGTTTCTCTGTTTGCTCGGTAAAAAAATCGCTACAAGCAATATTTGGTGTAGAGAGATGAGTCTTTCTGAGTTTTAAAGTGGTTTAAAGTAGACTTTCAACAGCTGTTGTTTAAATGCTGCAGTGACATCTGGTGGAAAACGTCTTCCATCTCTGTCCTTTGGTTCATCCTCATATCTCTGCTCTGGTCCAGAAGCTTCCAGGTGTCTCAGTCAAACTGCAAAACTCATTCAATGACAGAGTAAAATTATTGCAGACACTGATGTCTACGATTAAAATCGAGTCAAATCTCAAATTAATTAATATTTTCTAATCAAATTCTTCCATTCTAGTCCTCCTCTAACATCACCTTGCTGGAGATTAGGAAGCCAGGTCCTCTGCTTTTATTAATTATATATATAAATATGGATTTATGTTAAAAGAAACACAGGAAAATCTCAAACCTGAAACTGAAATCAAGAGTCAACAGTGGCTTC